ATTAGATGACATTTACAAGCCACATTTTCTCATGAATTTGAATGGAAAATTCCCACCCAAATTTAGCAAATATAATCTAATGATTTATTAAAATGATGATATTTAGAACCTGAATTTATCCCAGAACATAGCAGGAATCTAGCATTTCAAAATTAATCACTGCATTAGAAGGATAAAAATGAAATAATGCATGATAATTTCAACAAATGTAAAAAAGTAGGTGATAAAATTCAACACCTATTCAAGCTTTCCAAGTTAAAATGTCTTAGAAACCTAAAGAACAAAAGGAATTTTCTTAATCTGATAGGGAGTCCACTGAATACCTGTTATAAACATCAAGCTGAATTGACTTAAATCAGTGTACAAAAAAAAAAATGAGAGTGAAGAAGAACCAACAACCCCATCAGAGTGTGTGTGTGTGTGTGTATTTGTTTTGTGTGTGTGTGTTGGGGGGATACACAGTTGCACATCATATCTACACAAAATTAAATCAAAGATGAGCCATTCACCTAAATATAGAAGCTAAAATCATCACCCTTGTAGAGTAAATGTAAAAGAATATACAAAGGCAAAGGAGACAAAAGTCGGGCTGGGGAGATGGCTCAGTGGAATAAATGCTTCCCTGGCAAGTACAAGGGCCTGAGTTCAATCCCCAGTTCCACCAAAAAAAAAAAAAAAAAAAAAAAAAAGAGAGAGAGAGAGAGATAAAAGTCATTAATTTGGAAGAAAAATAATTGATACAGATTTCATCAAAATTCAAAATTATTACTCAAGAAATATTAAGTAAATTTAAAAAATGATTTATAGGCTGGGAGAAAAGATTAACAACATATAACATGACTCTTTCAAGTATTACCCATGCAGTTTGATTTTTGTTCATGAACTATTTGCCTACCCCTATGTCTTCAAGATTTCCTCCTACTTTCTCTTCCAGGAGACTCAGTGTTTCTGTTTTAATGTTTAGATCTTTAATCCATTTTGATTTTAGTTTAGTGCATGGTGATAGACCTGGGTCCAGTTTTAGTTTTCAGCATGTAGAGAGCCATTTTTTCCAGAACCATTTGTTAAAGAGCTATCTTTCTTCCAGTAAGCATGTTTGGCCCCTTTGTTGAAGATAAGGTGGCTGAGTGTGTCTGTAGTTGCTTCTGCATCTTCTAATCTATTCCATTGATCCTCAGGTCTATTTTTTTGCCAATAACATGACAGATAGATTTAAAAGTTAATGTCAGGTGCTTTTCAGGTGAAAAACAACTATAAAAGGGTTGATAAAGCATAATCCTAGTTATGGAAAAATTTAAACACATAATATAATGCTCCACACACACAAGGCATGTAAGAGGTACTACAGAAAAGAAGATATCCTTCTAGTCCCTTTATCCTTCTAATGCAGTGATTAATTTTGAAATGGTGTTGGACAACTTCAAGATGATGAATGGGAGGAAATGTGGGGAACTAGATGTGCCATGACTTTTGTTGCACGTCAGTATTACATTTGCTTATAAGGTAAAATTACTTGAAATAAATATTTGATGCATGTTGATATACATTAAATGTGACTGTTAGGTAAAAAAATATAACATGATGTATTAATGACATATATCAGACAATTAGCATTTAGAATATCCAGTTGTAAAAGGTGATTACAAATAAACAATAAAAGGAGAAAAAAAATTGAGTGAAAGGTTTAAATACTTAAGATATGAGATTGACCAGTAAGCACATGTATATACAAGATAGTTAGGATGGATATACCACTACTTTCTCTTAGTTTACTGAGAAGAAAGGTTTGTACTAATATTGTTTAGACAAGACATCATGTCTGTATCTTGTCCTCTGAATAACTAATACAAAGATAACAATATGCAATGTATTAATTATAGTAACTGTCCTACTAACCTGTTTTGAAACTGTTTCATTGTTATTTTTTCTCATTAAAATGAATTTAAAACGGTATTCAACAACATTAGTCATTAGAGAAATAAAAATCAAAATCACTTCTCTTAGTGCTCCTATTGCTAGACAAAATCCCTTTACACTAAAGGATTCAGTCCATAGTCGCTGGCTCGAAGGCGGGAGCATCATGGTGGAAAGATGTTTGAGCAAAGCTGCTTAGTTCACAGAGGCAGAGAAACAGAGATCAGAGAAGAATGTCAGACAGCTACCCTCCAAGGCTTGCCCCAGGGCCCCACCTCCACCCAGGCCCCACCTCCTAACAGCACACTCAGCCTTGAACATCAATGGATTAATCCACTGATGGTACCGCCCTTCCATGATTCACATCTTCTCACCCAGAGTCTCTCAATGCAGTGAAGCTGACAGTGAAGATTTACTGGTGAATCTGAAACCAAGATTGGTTTCAGAACTGAAACCAAGAAGGGGCTGGAATTGCTTGAGAGCACCACACCACCATTAGAGATCGCTGTACACCCCTAGTACATCTAAAATTAATGATACAACAATGTATGCTGGCAAGAATTTGAAGCAACTGGAATTCTCACAATCTGTTGGTGAGAGAGTAAAATAACATAAGTGCCATGGAAAATTGATGTTCTAGAGTGTTATGAGTCATACTTCTATTTGCTGGCATGTGTCATGAGTTTTCTCTTTCATGGAAGCCAGTCCAAATTAGGTTTCTCCTGCCAGCAGTGAGCTGTAGGTAATGCTAATGGTAAGACACACAGTCAGGGCCACTGGTTGCTTATGTGTTGCTAAGCTGGGTAGTGTGGGGCCAGGACCACTCTATTGTAGGTCATAGGGATGGGCTTTAAGTGTCCTGATTGGATGGATGCACATCCATCCACAAAGCCAGAAACTTTGGACAGTGCCCTAGACATCACTTCCTTAACAGTCTTTCCTTGGCTGTGTACTTCTGTTTTCTCCCTGCAGTGCACCTCTGCAGACACTCTGAGACCATCTACCGATCAAATGAAAGGATAGAATGAGAAAGAAATAAAGAAAAATCATGAAATAATAAATGGAGATAGGCAAGTCAGTCACTGACTCCAGCAGAGGCGCACCGCATTCTCCAGAAGTATTCCCAGCTCAGCCAAAGGCCAAGCTATAGTCAGTTTCAGACACAGGCCAGGGATGCTCCAGGCTTCACTGGTCTTGAAGACAAAACCAGAAGCAGTTGGGTGCAGCTTGATACTGTTAAAACCTCTCTGAGATCCCAGCCCTCACCCAAGGGACCAATTTGGACTCTAACTTGGTGTAAGGCAGGGTCTGGCTGCCTGATCTGGAGCTGCCACCTCATCCAGGCTGTGAGCTTTGAGTGAAAACTGGCTAGGTGGAAACTATTGTTCCTTTCCCTGGTCTGTCTTCATTTGGGGTTTCCTGATACTCACAGGGTTGGAGCCCTGGTCAGTGGTTTGATAGTGGAAGATGGGTGTCAGGGGTGCACTGTGCTCAGAAGTGAAAAATCCTGGGGCTAGCTTGGGAGATCCTATTGCCTCTGGGAACTACGGAAGAACTGAAACCAAGAAGGGGCTGGAATTGCCTGAGAGCACCTGGTCAAGGCAGAGCTCTTTCCCTTGGCCTCCCAGACTCAGCATTGTATCCCACCACATGTAGTTCTTTAACCTCTGGTTTCTTCTGCCCCGAGAAAGACAGAGCCCCATACTTTCCTCCAAGAAGTGGGGAAAGAGGGGGAGCTATGTGGGATCTCCTTTGGGGCAGAGATCAAGACTGCCTAAAAGAGCTTTGGGTCACAGCTTGCTTGCCCAAGAGGTGGGCTAAGGCATGGGCTGATGTTAGCAAACTGCAATGGGAAGTGCCGACTCCCAGGCAAGGTGAAGAGCAACGGAGACCCAGAGCCCAGGTGTCAGCGGGACCACAGCATCACATCCAGGGTGTGTTCTCCTGTGACTGCAGCATGGAGCAGGGCCTGAGCTATGCTGGGATTTATATCACTACTCCTCAATTATCTAACTTTGTGATCTCTGATATGATACTTGCCTTTCTTAAGTCTTGGTGGAATAATGGCTCACATTTGTAGGGACTATTTCTGTGAGGTTGGTGCTGTGCTAAATAATTTATATACAGTGCCTTGTTAATCCTCACAACAACCAGTGAAGTATTATATTATTGCTGTTATGTACTTTTTTTTTTCCTTTGGAAGAGTAGACCAAGACCAAGACCAAGAGCAATTATGTGTCCAGGAACAGTGGGTGAATGCTATCAACTGAAGTCAGGCCAGGCCAAGGCCTTCCAGGTAAACACAGCCCTCAGGTAGGGTAGTCCCTTGGCTACAGGCACAGGCATTTAGCAACTTGGGCTTGGAAAGTGAATGTCATTCCAGGGCCAATTCCAAGGCTTTACTTACTCCTATTACCTTCCAGGGAGCACCTCCATATGTGCTGGCCTGCCCAAGCCAGGTCTGGGATGGCCATGTGGGGATGCTTACCCTGTAAGGCCTTACGGAGATGATAAAATAGCAAGCTGAAAACCAGCCTTGGAAACTGCATAATGCACATACATGACCGTAAATTAAATATTTGCCAAAGCCATGTGTAATTTTCTTGATTACATAGGGGTGTGGTCCAAAAGAAAATGCCGGTGGTGACAAATGCATCCCTACATTCATGAAAGATATTTGCATGTTCTAAGAATTAAAGTTTCTAGCTATCAAATAGACAAGTGGGTATATATAAGAACATTCTGAACTAAGATTTACATTTTTAAAATGCTAGCCAAACACAGCTGTAAGTCAAATGGAAAATCCATCGGATATTCGTTACCTTCAAGTTTTCATTTACATATAAATAACTTCAATTCACCAATGTGACTTCTGGGCATTGGTTCCTTCCTGAGCCCTGAATTCTTAATCAGCTAAGTGGGACCTATATCTGGCACAGCATTTCCAGTGAAGACATTCATTCTTTGGTTTTTACCTTGCAGACTTAGTTTACTGTAGGCAAAATACCATTTCCTATTTGGCTGCATCATATTCCCCACTTGATGTTTCTTAATATGTAGAATGTTAAGGAAAGAATAATACATACCTGTGTCATAACACACTGTAAGTCTCCCACTGTGATCACCCACGTTCTGTGGTTCAAAATCAACTTCCAGTTGCATGGATTCTCCCACATTAAGAGTTCCATCTGATGGCTCCACAGAGAAAGGCCTACAACACACATGGAGAGACGTCATCAGAGAATTTTTTTTTTTTTTTCAGTACCGGGGATTGAACTCAGGACCTTGCATTTGCCAGGCAGGTGCTTATGCCACTGAATTATTTCCCCAGCCATCAGAGAACATTTCTAACTACTGTGAGGACAAGGAGGATGAGGACGAGGAAAAGGACGAGGAGCAGGAGGAAGAGGAGGAGCAGGAGGAGGAGGAAGAGGAGAGGAAGGAGGAAGAGGAAAAGGAGAAAGAGAAGGAGGAGGAGAAGGAGGAGGAGGAGAAGGAAGAAGAGAAAGAGCAGGAGAAAGAGAAGGAGGAGGAGGAGGAGGAGGAGAAGGAGAAGGAGAAGGAGAGGGAGAGGGAGAGGGACAGGGACAAGGGGAAGGAGAAGGGCAGGGAGAAGGGGAGAGGGGAAGGACGGTGAGAGACTTGAGCTCCAGTTCTGCAGATACACTGTTTTCCCTAATTTGAAAGAACTTAATTTTAATGTTAAAATAACAGCAATAGATTAGCAAATTTAAAAGAGACTTAAATGATGTAATAATATTCATATTTGTGGCCTTCTCTGCCTAACATTTACTGGGTATTCTTGTTGGGTTCAAGCACAGGGTTAGGGTGATCACAAATGAGTGCAATCTAGCCCTTGTTCTCAAGACACTGAGAGTCTAATACAAGACAGACATAAAACATGGATGCATATATTGTTATTTGCAAAAGAATTGTGCCTTCCAAGGGTAAAAATCAAGCTTTGTGAGAGGTCAGAAAAGAGATGGCAACAATAGCAGAAAAATATACCAGTGCCTCAAAAGTAAAGCGATGGCACAGTGATGTTAGAAAATTTCAGAACTGTTGAAGAGGATGGGAAGAGTGTAGAGAACTATAGAAATGATTCCACAGCCAGGGTTGGTACCAACAGAGCTGTTGCCATCTCCAGGCCGAGCATGGGGAGGAGTGGTTTTGAAACCTAGAAGAGAGTCCTGCTTTACAGAGGAAGGGCTTTCCTTCAAGGCAATGGCCAGTCCCCATGGTCTTAGAGAAGACAGTGAGGTAAAGAATATTCTGACCTCAGTCTTCCTCTGTCCTGTTGCTTCATGGGACCCATGCAGAAGCCAGAAGGCACAGGGGCCTGTGATCCAGGCCACAGAAGGCAGTTCCTGAGCAAGACCAGGCTGGAGAAAGACAGGGTGCATTTGGAAAGGCAAACAGGACAAGTTCTGTGTCTTGAGAAATAGAATTTGGGGGTGTAAACATTGTGGGAAGTGAGGGTGGATTTGAGAACAGGAAATGGTTTCATTGAATTGTCCTGGAAGGTACTCTTGCTATTGCAGAGAACCTGGATCTGATCAAGAAGCACCTTAAATAACTTATGGAGTTCTTCCTTCTAAATAGGAAACTCAGCCCATTTAATTATTTTCATGGTCCATTTCACTTCTTTAAATTGCTAGTTTTTCAAAGTAATGTGTTGTACAATGTATCTGGCAGGGTAAGCTGTTTCTGATTATTTACTTATATCAAAACAGTTTTCAGAATCATCATTCTTTAACTCTTCCTTTAGATAATGAACTTAATTTCAGAAAACATAAGCTTTACACTAGAGGGGTAGAGGGCTTATAGCAAGGGTAGCATCAGCAGTAGTCTGGACTGCAGTATCTCAGACCCTTGGACCCTGGGTAGTTCTTTATTTTCTCTGATGTTCTCTACTTTGATCTCTCTTCCTACTTCTTGATCTTCTCTTCATTTTTTAGGCTTTTCCCCATACTCATAGTGCCAATCCTCTTGAGAGCCCGACTTTGCTATAAGCTCCCTGAAGTGGTAGTTACTAGCCCAGTCTGCAGAGTCAAGTGAAAGAGTTCAGAACCCATCTCTGCCACAACTTTGGACAAATATCTAATATGCAAATGACCTAAACATAGGTTCCCCCATCCCTAAAATGAGTGTATTGACAATACCTGCTCCATAGGGTTACAGTGCAGACTAAAGAGGTTGATGTAGGTAGAGTGCTAAGAATAATGCCTCCTACCTGGGAGGTGCTACACAAGTACTTACATTATTATTTTTGTTGTTGCTATTTTTATCTCTTTCACTACGGTACCAAGGTGCTGAAAGATGGACCTAAGGATGAGTTTGGGTGTTTAGATAAGTTCCAGCTTTCTCATTCTCCTTTCCATCCTTAACATAGCTCAAGAGTGTCTGTGAAGCACACATGCGTACACACACACCCCACAACACACCAGTTTCCTGTTCAAACATTGTCAGTAGCCCTTATAATCTACACTACAGTGTGGAACCCTTAAGCATCCAAGGTCTCACACAATCTGTTTCCAACCGGGTTTTGCATCCTGATTGCACAGATATATCTGTTCGAGTAGCATACACACCTGCCACATGCCAAATCAGCTGGGGTGGGCTGAGTGGGAGGCTCTGGTCTCTTCACCCAGAAGCTCTCCCAGCATGCACCTGCTCTGCCTTCCAACCAGATTGTGCTCTCCACATCGACGATCCAGCACTGCTAGGGTCGTTACCAGAACACCCACCACTTCCCACATGCCACACTTCTTCTGAAGTCACAGATCAGAGCCCAGACTCAAAGTCACCTCCTAAATAGAATCTTGCATATATAAAGTACCTGGTATAGTATGCACAGTAGAGTGCATGCTTGTGCAATTTGTCATTTTCTTTATTCCTCTCAAGAGTTTCTAACAACTGAGAAGCGTGCATGAAAACTATCTTCTAGTAGAAGAAAAACCACAGAGAAAAATAAAAAGAAAGGCAAGCTGGTTGTGACAATGTGCACCTGTAACCCTAGCATTCTCGTAGACAGAGGTAGGAGGACCACAAGTTCAAATCCAGCCTGGATTAAATAGTAATTTAACAAGACCCTGTCTCAAAAGAAAAGGTACAAAAAAAGAGCTGGGAAGGTAGTTCAGTGCAAAGACTCTGGGTTTAATCTCCAATACCATCAAAAAGAAAAAAGAAAAAAGAAAGATCCCTAGTCTCTCAGGGGAAGAAGAGACACAACTCATCATGAGCATGTATTTCATTCTAGTGGGTACTGCACTTTACACATGTCAATATAAGTCTCCAAAATATTTTTGAGAAAGTGGATATTGCTATTTTGTGTCACAGACATGAAAAAACCGATTTCCTCAAGGGCAGGCAACTTGCCTAAATCAGCCTAGCTACGTAGTGGGATTGCCACAGCATGCCAGCTTTTCAGCTCCCGTTCCTTCTGCCTACCCCAGTGCTGCATGATTCCTTACTCAGAGAAACTTCTCAGAAGCTGGTGAACTGAATTACAACAAAATCTGAAGAAAAATAAAGGTATACGCAAGTATCTGTCAATTTTTACAATATCAACTTCTTGGTCAAACAGTAAAGTAGTAAACTTTTACGAGTTCAAGAATCTCTGCAGTACAGGGGAGGCAGCTCAGTAGAATAAGCACTTGTCTGGCAAGCACAAGGTCCTGAGTTCAATCCCCAGTACCACAAAACAACAACAACAACAACAACAAAAACCAAACAACAACAACAACAAAAAAAAAAAACTCATAAATTTGGGGCTTAGGAGATGGCTCAGTGGAATAAGAGCTTCCATGGCAAGTGCAAGGGCCTGAGTTCAATCCCCGGTTCCAAAAGATAAACAAACTTTAGGGTCGGGGAGATGGCTCAGTAGAATAAGTGCTTCCCTGACAGACACAAGCTCCTGAGTTCAATCCCCGTTTTTTTTTGTTTTTTTTTTTTTAAAAAAAAGAATCTCTGCATCGTGGGAGATGGCTGAGTCTTCCAGGCTCAAGGTTCTTTTTTTCCTTCTGCCCTTAGTGAGAATCTGAAGAATTGGTGAAGAGGCCCAGTTTTCTGGCCTTGAGATTAACAACACAACAGCATCTTCCATCTTTGCCTCTCCATTTCCTAAGGCTTTTCTTCCTGCACAGTGCTTTCATTTTCTTTTCAAATATTTCTCAGTAGCGAAAGAACAGTTTTAAAATAAATCAGATATGATCACATTGCAGGACCGAAGCTAATTTTCTGCAGAGATGATGACACTGGTGTAGTCTCTCCAGGACCTTCAGGAACCCAAATCCCACTGGGTGGTATGGACACTCTCCCCTTGTGCTAATTTAGGTTTAAATTACACTAACTTCTTCCGACGCTAGAAAATCACCTGGGGTGGCCATTGCCACTTAGATCTTCTTAAGCTTCAATAAATCAAATGCTAATTGGGTAGAGTGTGTCAACTTCTGGTGCTTAAACGTTGACTGTAATTTGATTTTGTATTTCATTTTACTAAAGGCAGACAGCTTGAATGGACTAGAAAATATCAAGTATCAGAAAATGCTGTTATAAAGAAGTTAAAAGCATTATTCCTCAAGGGAGTAAAACTGGGTCTGCATATCAAACTGTTTGATTTTGGTATCACATTCTCATTAATACCAAATATTTAATTATGGAAGGAGCTTGGTTTTGTGAAAAATCTTGAACTCTAGCAAACACGGAGTTTTTATTCTATTGTGAGCTGTTCTTAAGAACTAAAACCATCTTGTCCAAATGGTTCATTATTTTTACAGAAGCCTAAATACTTGTCTTATTATATTAAATATTAACACAATGTTAATATTTCTTCTTCAGATCATCTTTCTTATTTAATTCCCAACTTGAGGTTTTAAATTTTGAAATTGCTTTTTAATCCTCCTCTTTCACCTTTCAATATTAATCCTACTTTAACAGTCAAAGTCATTCTGGGACCTACTAGAGTTTTGGGTTAAAACTGTAATAAAGCTGGATGGTAATGGTTTATGTTCTCTGTACCTTTTATAGCACATGGCAGCTCTTTTTATTAGAGTAAAAACATTATGCCCATTTTATGGTACTTGGAGCATGCTTTTTATTTTAAATTATTTTAGAGATTTACAGTTGCATCTTCCTTTGTGATGTATTGTTCGTTAGGTATCCTATAAACATTTATTGAGCTTTTATTCATGCTAGATGCATGCTAAATGCTGGAGACATACAGATGAATAGAGACAATTCTTTTATTTGAGAAGCTCACATTCAGACGGGGACAACACATGCATTCTGATGGGGACATTCAGATGGGGACAACAATTAATTTTATCATTCATAGAAATCTAACCACTTTATAAACCTAACTAGTAATAAAATAATTATTTCAATGAGAAAAATCTGTTCTGTTTTTAAGATAATCTCCTATGTGATGTTGCCTCTGGCTGTATGTTGACCTTCCCTAAAAAGCAGCCAAACCAAAGATGTGTCCTGGGATTTTAACTGTATAAATTCTGGGGCCGGGGAGATGGCTCAGTAGAATAAGCACTTGCCTGGCAAGCTCAAGGGCCTGAGTTCAACCCCCGGTTCCACCAAAAAAACAAAGACCAAAAAGAAAACCTCTATGAATTCTTAAACTATATCCATTAAGTTGCCAAGTAGACTATCAGCACATATACTAAGAACCATTCTGGGAAACAGTACCACCAGCGCAGTTCTTAGAAAGGCTACTAGGGAATGTTTTCCGAGAAGCAAATTCAATATGACACCCCCACAAATGCAGCTCCATCCTTTTTCACTACAGTTACTGGGGTTCTCAGTCACAAAAACCAGAAGTTAATTGGCTAATTTAAAAAAAGAATTAATTGGAAGGACTTGAGCCAGCTCACAGATTTGACAACGTAACTGGAAAACACGGCTTTTGTGTAAAGAGCATAGATCTACCATTTCATCCTCATGTTTAAACAGGAAAGCAAAAAATATTTGAAAGCAGAGAATTTGAGAGACTTAGCTATACAAAAGACCAAACAGATGAGAAACCCAGTCTAAGACACTGAGATATCTCTGGAATTGCTAACAACAGTAAGCCATTTCTACTCTTGGGATGGAGGCAAAAGGCAGGGAGGTAGTGTTATTAGCACTGGGGACCATGGTGACCTGACAAAAGGTCAAGTCAAGCAAGGTTATTCTGATAACAGCTAGAAGCATAGAGGTGATGCAGTTGCTGCTAAAGATTGAGAGGGAGGAGGATAAACATTCTGGCTTCTTCTTTCTCCATATCTTCCAAACTCAGCTGGAATCCAGCTGGCCCAGAAGTCTAGGAAAGCTAATAGCCCTCACAGCGATACCAGCCAAGCAGAGAAAGGAGAGGAACAGAAAAGAGGATAAACAAGCCCAGAACTTGCCCTCATTTGTTCTGATCCAGGTTTTGATATTAACTTACTGGGGAAATATAAACAAGCCATTTCCATTTCACACGTACCTTCAGGTATAAAACAGGGATGCTGGATCAGAGTTTCTAATGTATTTATTTTTCCTGGTTAGTCCTTTCTAGAGTAAGTCTCTGACTTACAAACAAGTTCTATTCTGAGAGAACGGTCCCAAGTCAAATTCATGCATAAGTCTGACAAAGTGAGTCCTACACAACTTTGACACAAATATACAATTTGTACATTGCTTTGTGTTTCCTAGCAGTCCCCTCCACATCACCACTGCTTGTCTTCTTGCTTCTGGACATCCCCAGCTTTGACTGAGCACTGTACTGCTGTACACCCCTGCATGGTACAGTAAGCACACAGCAGGTCGGCTGTGACTGTCTAGCAGACATGCGAGCTACTGCTATGGTTTGTCTGCATCTATGAACGTTCTCACTGCAAGGTTTGTTTGTTCACATTTGTGAAAGCTGCAACCCGAATGCTCTTTAATTGGGGACTTGCTGTACTGTATTATGTGTAATTTTTAAGATTCAGCCAAATAGTCCAAGAAGATACACTGCTTGTGCTCATTTTTTCATAGCAGGTGGACTTTCCTTTTCACATAAACCTAACAATGTAACAGGAAGGTTTTACTGTGTATTATGGAAAGCAATTCTGGGAGGCAACTTTTTAAATTGAGAAAATGGATTTTTTAAAAACATGTTGAGCCACTTGAACAACTCATCTTCTTCAATCAAAATACATGAGATTTAGCATGAGATGGCGGAGGAGCTACAAGCACAAGTTCAGCAATAACAGGAGATTCTGATTACCAAAAGAATGTCGCTTTTGCCTACGATGGTCAATTTACTTAAAGTGATCCAGAAAGTCTTACTTCCCTCTAGAATGCAAAAAAACTGTGAAGTTACCTTATCCTAGCAAAAAATAAAATGAACACAACACAGACAAACGACGAAATCACACCTTTTCTCAAACCCCACCAAAAAGCTGAGGCCGCAGGGCAAATAATCTGAAAGATAAAGATAAGCAAGTTCCTCTCTTCTGAGTGGGTCACACACATACCACTGTATCACTGGTGCTTTTCACCTGTGGCAGATGGAAGTTCCCCACAAGCAAAAGAGAAGTTTGGAAAAGAAATATTTGAAGAGGTAATGGCTAAGATTTTCCAAAAACAATGAAATACCCAGAAAGTTCAGAGAATCTCAACAGGATTAAAAAAAAAAAATGCCAGAGAAAAACTAAAACAAAACCCATACCTGGACAATGATATTCCAACTGTTAAAAACCAAATATAAGAATAAAATTATGAAAGCAGCCCAAGAAAAAGACAGATATAACTACAATAAATGTGGAAAAACAAAGATAAGAATAAGAGCAGATTTCTTACTAGGAAAATGAAAGCCAAAGGACAACTAAGTGATATCTTTAAAATATTGGAAAATATATGTATATATAGTTGTTAACCCAGCATTCTATGCTAAAGAGAAAATATGTTTCACAAATAAAGAAAAAATAGGGTTTTTTTCAAATAGACAAAAATGGAGAAAATGTATAGTAGACTTGTGCTACAAGAATATTAAAAAACATTTTTTTAGCCAAGATAAGTATGTTACCAGGCAGAAATGTGGTTCTACCTGAAGTGGTTGAGAGATAGTGATACCCCTGAGACACGTGGAGGTTGTGCCTTCAGTCTGCAATGTGGCAGTCCTGCTAACTGCATATAGCAGACTGGGTAACCTAAAATTCTTGTACCATAAAAAATAGCAAGAAGGACTGGATAAAATAAAACAGATTATGTGTACAGAACACAATAACACAATAAGGAAAATTCATAGGATTCCAAAGCAAAGAGAAAAGAGGAACCACAGCACGAAGCCACTGAATTAATACTAGGTTTTATCTTGAGTTCCCAATAATCAGAAGGCTGGTTTCTTAGTAACCATACTAGAGCAGAAGGTCAAGTCAGGTGATGGTAATAAATCCTCACATAAACCTGGGAAACTTAAAGGGCTGCCAAAACATTCTTTCACCATCAAAAGAGAAAAATGTCTACCTCCCTTTTCTGTGACAGCAGGTAGATTTCTCTAGGAAAGTCCTAACTTTGGATTTTGCACCCTGTGCAGATTTGGGTCTGACTATATTCCACCAGTCCAAGAAGGCCTCAGCCAAGAGATCATCGACAGATCATTTCATAGTCCAACCTTTGAGAACCATGACAGAAGCAAAAATTGATTCTGAGGGGAGATATCCTTAACTAGAAAAAGATTCCAAGAAAAAGCCTTTCTGAAATTGAGTTCACAGTCCAGAGCAGTATACCTACTACTTGTGGACAATAACTTGATCCCTTCCCTTATGTCTTCCTAAGTTGGTCAATGTTGTTAAGGGCCCACTATGCAGCCCCTGTTCCCCATGTCCCATAACAAGTCGTTTTTTCCCATTTGTAAGATTTCCTCAAGAGCGAGGACTATCACTATCTTTTATATTGTCCCACGGTACCTACACTGCAGCTACTCCATAAATATTCAAGTAAAATTCCAACTTACTATCCCTGTACTTCTGATCGAACCTCCTTATACGACAGTTTTCTCATCCTTAAAACAGGCCATAGGAGTCTGAGTCCCTCTCACATCTCATTATCCTGAAATGGTCTTCTGCTTCCTTGTTCTGTTTTTAAGGGCCCTCTAATTACATGGGCCTATTCAGAGAATCCAGGATAAACTTCCCACATTAGGCCAGACGATTTGCAACCCGACTTTACCCCGTAACACTAATGCACTTTGCCGTGTAACATTATATAGTCAGAAGTTCTGGGGATGAGAACATGGGCATATTTGGGGGAGTCATTATTTTGCCAGCCACTCTGGTATTAGCTCATTTGAAAAAAATACAAAAGGGCCAAAACTTAATAGACAGAATTTACAATATATCCGAAGTTCATGTTTACTGATTTATATTTTCCTTGAACCAATCCTATGAAGTGGCTGCTATACTTCCCCCCAATTTTCAGGTAAGATAACTGAGTGTCATGAGCTAAGAAAAACAGATGGCCTCGAACTCTGTGAAAGGCAGACTTCCCAAAGGGTCACAGTCCTGCTGTGACCTATTGAAATTTCTGACCTATTGAAATGTAGGTCTTATATTTTAGTGCAGTGAGACTTTGAACCTCTAGAAATGTAAAATGATAGTCTCACATTAAGCCTCTAAACTTGTGGTAATTTGGTACAATCGCAGTAGCAAATGAATCCAGCCAGTTATAGAAATTCTTGGTCAAAACAAATAATTGTTTCTAAATTCCCATGGTACACTGGAATGACATTTATCAAGCACTTTGAAAAACAAAAAGGAACCTTACAAAGAAGTGGGCATAAGATATTAAACCATGATTTTTAGTTTCCTTTGGGATGAAGAGGAAATCTAATCTAATGTCAGTGAGGTCTCCAGGCTTTGCAGCTGAGGACTGTAACAAACAATTCCACCCTGATGTTATTCTAGCAAACTATTTGTGCTCATCAGCTTTAGCTGTAATCAATCAAAAACAGGAGCTGAGGCATGCATACCTATGAATTTTGATGTGAAACACAGCATCTTTGTTGCCAATGTTTCGTATCAATAGAATCTTTTGACTGCTGTATTTGACAGGGCAAGTGGAAAAATTCAGCTCGTCAGGAAAATCCAGGATGGCTCGTGCCCCTCTAGCTTTGATGGGTACAATAAACTTTTCTCTTTCAGTAACGCAGGTCAATACATGGGCATAATCCTATGAAGGAAGGACACAGTCATTAGTTGTGGAAGAACCAACATGATCAAACTAACTCTGCAAGGAAAACAGTGGTAATGCCAGGCATTCTTGCAAAACAAGTTAGTGTATATCTGTGAAAACTTCTCAAGACACATAAATTTTTAATTAGATTCTCTTTTCTGAGAATTTAATTACTCTGTTTTAGCACTTGAACTGTACTCTGAAAAAGAGTACAGTTCAAGTGTTAAAACCTACAAGCCAGGAGAGAAACTCAGGCTTCTCACGTTTCCCAGATACCTGGGAGGTGGAAAGGGAAATGGTGACAGCCAAGGACATTTTTGTTTAGATCAAAGGAGATCCACACCAATTCCCCAAGGCCACCTTCTAACCCTTACTTACTATTCCAGCCCATGTGTTGCATGGATCATTCCAATGATCTGTTTGTGCCCACACTCTGCAATGTAAGTTTGCAGTTCCTCCATCAGGACTGGAGTCTGTGTCCCCACCCTGTGCTTTGAGCAAGAGAAAGTGGCAATTCTGTTTTGCCAGTTTTAAGCTGAAGCCTGCACAAGCTTTGGCATTTCCAGTCTTGCTCTTGGAACCCGACCACTGCCATGTGAGGAAGCCTGGGTGGCCCACGGGAGGGTGACACCCCAGATACCCCAGCCAGGGCATGTCAGTCTAGCCTCAGCCAGCTGATGTCCACATATGTGAAGAAGCCCAGCCACAGTGAGCAGAGCCATTGCCTCAACACAGAGCTATTGCCTCTGTCCTGGTGCTTGTGTGAACAGTCAACACCAGAAGAACCATCCCACTGAACCATAGTCTTGTGAGCAATAGTAAAGGCTTATTATTAGGCTACTAAGTTTTGGAGTGTTCTATTGTTATACAGCAATAGCTAACTGATACACAGTCCCATTTGGAACTCTTCTTTTGTGAAAAGCATTATTGACCAGTTCAAAGAAAAATGCTTAGGCTTTTGGCATTTATTCCATTCTTGAGTCCAAATGCAACAGAAATGCTGAATAAAGTCACTCATTATGTTGTCTCATTAGATAGAAATAGAATGCTCACTAGCAACCTAGCAAAGCAAAAATTAAAAGTTAAAATCCTTAGCAAGACAAAATGTAAGAGGAAAATGCTAACAGTCACCTCAAGAATTGGCTAGAAGCTCAGAAGTCACTATGAAGGAAGGTATTATCTAACCTGAGTTTATTATTTTTTATTTTCAGTGCTCTCTTCAGGTTGCTGTGTTTTAGCTACAAGGTAATCTTAAAAATGGAATATCATTTTGAACTTAAATCTCTTTTCACTAATCACATTATAAACGATATTAAGTGATGAAGGGATTTTGTTTTGAGTACTGGGATTTGGTACCAGGGTTGAAGTCCACAACCCGGAGCCTCCAGGATGTTAGGCAAGTGTCCTACTGTGGAGCTCTCTCTCGCCTAAAGGATTTTGTTTTGTTTTAAAAGTACTTTGGCCTTTGAGTCCATGGTAGGAATGGGAACATCTGGCCTACACATCTGACGTATAGACCTGCCATGCACTCAGTTTAGGAAATCACAGAACAGGTAGGAAGCAGTGGTATCCTTAATTAGTTTATTCTTCCAACCGTGTTTATTAAACGCCCTGGAATACAACCAATTAGGAAACAGACAGGTCATAACCCTTTTCTCTCTACATGAGAATGGAAAATACAATGAATAAGAGACATATAATGTGTAATGAAGTATATAAATAAATACAAAGATGAACTATCCAGCAGGGCTCTGAAACACAGCCTTTGCACCTGCAGTTCGCCCTGCAGTCTCCACACCCCACACTCATTACCCAGCTACCCAGATGGCACCTCATAAAACATAAATATATTATGTCCCAATCCAAAGTCCTTGATTAATGGCGCTGCCTGGAACTGCGCACAAAGATGTCCTGCCTGGAGTTGGAGTAGGTGTTGAAATCCAGTCTACTCTGCTGGTCCCAACTGTAATAAACCCCTTGGGAGAGGGCCCCTTTTCTAGTACCCACAAAGCTCCACAAAGCTGAGGTCCTATTCCCTGCAGTCTCTCCATCTGGATGCCATTCCCACACAGCATCCCAGTCTTTTACTGTCATCTCCATCCTTCCAGTGGCCTGGGCTTAAAATCCTACAATAAGGCATTCTGAATTATTCTGTGTCTTAGTAAATCCTGTTGGATCTACTTTCAAAAGATATCCAGAGCTTTGATCACTGCTTCCTATGTTCCCACATGCCACACTGGACCTAGGCACTGGAATCTTTCCTTGGCTAAGGGGACTTTTTAACAGTGTTTGTTCCCTCCAAAACCACTTTCCCTCCAAGAGCCAGAGGGATCCAGTTAAGATCAAGTCACCCCAAGTTGTGCCTCTGCTTAAAGTCTCCTGGCCAAGAGCTATTGGGTACAATGTTGGGTAGTAGTGAAAGGAAAAAATAGCACAGTTAGGGACAGTGAGTGAAGAGCCTAGAGAGTAAAGGCCCTTCCTGAGGAGGTGACATTTGAGCAGAGATCCTTGAGTGAGAGGTGAAGCCACCAGGAAGAATGGCTCTCTATGACCATATGAGAGCAGAGGAAGGACAGTGGTTAGATATCCAGCCAACAGGGGCTGGTGTGGGTGTCGCAGAGCATCTTAGGAAGACCCAAGGATGGCTGAAAACACTGATGATGCCAAAAGCTAATAAGAGTATAATCTGATTTATGTTTCAGGAAAATGTTAGTTGCTATTCAGCAGTATATTATAAGGAGACTCTAATGGGAAAAGGAAGGTCAGCCAGTAAGGAAGCCACTGCAGGGTCCAGACAAGACATGACACTAACCGGGACTGGTGTGACAAAGTGCTTTTCTTAGTGTTTGGAGAGTAGCAAGCATTTGATATGTTTGCTGTCATGCTTACAATTTTGTATTAGGTAAAACGCTTTGTGTACAGCATTTGGAAAAACTCAATGGGTGTTCATTCTTGTTGTCAGGATAATAATTTAAAAGTAATTGTGATAACAGGACAAAGGGGCTTTGAAAAAAAAAGAAGGCCTGGTCACAATATAGAAAGGGGCAACTTTAGGTCAGAACAACCAAGGTGGCTTCCCTGAGAAGGTGACCTTTGGCTGGGGACCTGAATGGCAGGAGCCAGCCAGGAGAGCTCCAGGAGCAGAGTGTTCCTGGCAAGAAGAATTGTCATAAAAAAATCCTAAGGTAGGAGCAAGTAATAAAAATTAATGAGCGGTACTCATGGCATTTATTAGAATTGGATTGTTGGACTCTCCGCTTTGCAATTGATTCTGGTTTCCAGATGGTAATGCCAGGCTCAGAAATTATTTTGTTGAGACATAAGGAAGTGTAAATTACACTAAGATAGTTGAGCTTAGAAAACACCATAGAATTCAACAACACATCAGTCTATCTGATTACAGCAAAAATCCTAAAGAGATAAACACTATTTTCATTTTTTCTTAAGTGATCAAACCCAGCCAGCAAAGGTTTGGTTGGGAAAGCAGCTGGTGCATGCGGGAAGATTATTAATTGAAGCTTTGAGAGAAGAAAAAGCAAATGATGCTGCTGAAGCCAGGATTAGAGAAGATTCCAGAGTTTCGTCTTATTTTATTCTATCTCCACATACTCTCTGCTGTATTGTATAAGGAACTGAAGACAGCTGGAAACGGTTTAAGAAGCTAATCGAAATATTAAGGGGGATATTTTCAAAGCTTTCAAGTCCTAAATGAAGGCAGTTTGAAATTTGATCAGACTTACATACTTTCTCATAGTCAGTTTGTCTATCCATAAAATAATATGAAGGAAGCTCTTTAAACAACTACTTGGAAACACAGTCTAATCTCTAAAGTTATGCTTTTCATAGGGCTAATTTAGATTATGCAATACACTATTATATATTGCTCAGCTGGCTTAGAATTAATTCCAGCGTGATGGCTCAGGAGTCTCAGCCTGCCGGCAAGCTAAGCAATTACTTCAGCTGATGGACTCCCTTTCACCGAACCGAGACCCAGAGCAATCAGGTCACCATTCAAAGCCAAAACATTTACTCTGAGCTCTTTCCCCTCTGTTATGAGAGACTTAACCATGAATTAATTCTGTTTCTTAAAATGTTATCCTACATAACAATGCTCTTCAATGATGAAACTTCCAAACTATATTTTGTTTTGTTGTCTTCCCTGTGGCGTGCCCACCCTCCAAGCTGAAAGAAAGAGAAAGGACATGACAGCCACAGACAATGAAAATGGCAGGCACGACATTCTGAGAAGTGAAAAGAATGAATCTTGATTTTATATTAGTCCTGTGGTGGAATACAAACATGACAATAATTCTTTCCTTTAAAATTTCTGTGGAGGGGAATGATGTCTTCTACTGCAATAAATGACTCTGAACAATCAATGGCAAGGACAGTGTGCTCAAACCCTTACATCTTCTATCTGCTTTTTCTCTCCTCCTAAAGTAGATGGAGAAATGGCAGCAAAGCAAAACCAGATCTCATTAGGGCAAGAAATTCTGATTAAGAATTTCACACTTAGTATCCCTGGAAAATGTTCTGAATTCCCTAGAAAGTTAAAAATATTTATTACCTAGTATCTCTTCAGTATGAAATTCACCACTCCAAAAGGAGAATTAGTTCTGAAATCCCAGTCAGTTTAAAAACAAGATTGATCAGATATTTGGGCCTTTTTATTTTTATTTATTTATTTTTTAAAGTTATGTTAGTTCTTTTTTGCGGAACCAGGGATTGAACTCATGTCCTTGCGCTTGCCAGGGAAGCACTTATTCCACTGAGCCATCTCCCCAGCCCCTTGGGGCTTTTTAATCTACCACTATGGCTTGCCATGTGATTTAGCTCAGGTCCTTCCTAGAGGTATCTATATTTTTCTATCTGGCAAAAGAGAATAACTTCTGACCTTTGGCCATAAGTGATACCTAGTGTTTTCAAATATATTTGTACTATTCTGTGCTTATAATACAAGGAAAATGTTTAATTCATGATTCACGTTTAAAAAATAC